TAAATAAATAAATAAATGAAGTCATCCTAGAAAATAAAATGTAAAACCTGAAAATACCTTTGAGTTCTTTCATCAAGCCCTTTCAACATACAATGGATTTAAAGAAGAACTACATTGGGCTGTGAATTTGACATCTTACTTGATCCATCTAGTCTACACTTTAATTTTAATAGATATTAAAATATATATAATAAAGTATTTAACTATTTTCACCCCAGCAAATCAGAGTATGCACAAATGAAAACTAGAATGTATTCATCTTCTCCCTGAGAAGCATCCAGATAGGTTTAATAGCATCAGAAGAATTAGGAATTATGTCCCATGTAATAAGAGATATGAGGGCCAGGCATATAGCTCAGCAAAATAAGCACCTGCCTGGCAAGTACAAGTTCCTAAGTTTAATCCCTGACACAAAAAAGAGTGAGGGAGGGAGACAGAGACAGAGAGAGGAGGAGTGGGGGGGGGGGAGAGAAAGAGAGAGAGAAAATCTACCCCTGTGCCTCTTTAAAGTATGTGAGCCAATTTCATTGATTCTGTTTTGCTTCACACAAACCAGATTCACAGTTCCACCAACTCTGATTTGCTGTCAGAATTGTTTCCTTTCTGTGCATATTTTTTTTAATTTTATTTATCTGTTTATGTGTGTGTGTGTGTGGCCAGCCCAGCCTACCAGGGGGTGGGGCTGGATGGCATTTGGTGCTGGGGGATTGAACCACGGTCCCTGTGCTTTGCTAAGCTTGTTCTAAGTAGGTGCTTTAGACCACTGAGCCATCTTACCAGCCCCTCTGTGCATATTTTTTTGTCTCTCTTTTTGGAGTACCAGGAAAGCCAGGTGTGGTGGCTCATACCTATAAACTCAGCTCCTGGGAAGGGCTGAGGCAGGATCACTGCAAGTTTGAGACCTACCTGGGCTACATAGTGAGTTTAAGGCCAGACTGAATTACATAGTGAGATCCTGTCTCACAAAAAAGAGAGTATTAGGGAATCTGATTAGTAATTTTTTAACTTTTCCCTATCTTGCTCCACTTTTCCTCTACTCTTCCCTCAATAAACCCATATAAGCTCAGGTTCCCTGTTCTGCCTAATATGGCACAGTGGAAGAAAGCTTCTGGTATTGGGGAAGTTCCACCTCCAGCCACTCTAGGGTGCCAGGAAGAAGCCACTGTGTGCTCTGCTCCTGGTAGCATGGGCAGGACCTTGGGGGAGATCATAAAATAGACACTGAGTCTTCGTGTTGAGTTGCTTCTATAGTGAGAAGTCACACCTGAGCTGGGAAGGTTGGCCAGGGCTAGTTTTCTAGACCTGAGATCTTCTGGGAGAATGATGAAGCAATCAGGAGATAGGTGTGGTAAAGCCAGCATTTTAGGATTATTCACATAGTGGGGCTTTAAGTGGGGGCTGGTCTCTGGGTGTGGTAATATGAGGCTGAATAGAGAAAGTATAAACAAATATATATGTAGAAGCTTGCTTTGTCAATGAGAACAGATTTTTTATTCAGTGTCTGTTCCTTTATAGCTCCTACCTCCTCTTTAGAATCTTCCAGTAGCATAGAACAAGAAAAATACTTACAAGCCTTACTGAATGCAGTTTCTGTCCATCAAAAACTTAGAAGCAACAACACCCTTACTGTCAGGCCAGCACTTGCTCTGTCTTCAGGTAAGATTCAATAATACTTTCCTTTTTGACAGTTCTTCCAAAAGACCCTTCCCAATCCTGAATTGTCTCCTTAGTAGTTTGCATGTCCCTTCAGCAGGACCCCTTAATAGCCATACCTTGCTTAGAAATCAGAGCACCGTTATCATTGTCTGGTAAATACTCAGACATGCAATTATTTCCTTTTTAAAATAGTAATAGAGGAGGTAGGAAACAAAGTCACCCCTTTTTACTCCAGAAGCTGTCTTATATAAACTTTAAAAATATCATGGGTCCGGGGAGATGGCTCAGTGGAATAAGCGCTTCCCTGGCAAGCGCAAGGGCCTGAGTTCAATCCCCAGTTCTGCAAAAAAAAAAAAAAAATTAAAAAATTAAAAATATCATGACATTGAATGTATAAGTTGAACATCTGTTTATTAAAAGTATATTTGTTAAAATCATCTTGTACGAGTTTGAAATTCTCAAAATTTCTGTAGCCTTTTATGCTTTTGCAGCAGTTTGTTTTCTCTAGATTTGGATGAAGCCATTAAGACTTGTACTAATATTCTATTTCAGTCATCATGTGATGGAACCCCAAAGGGTTCATGTAGAGGTAACCCTAATGTGTTAGACACAGGAGCATGTGACTTGAGAAGTTGGTCTCTTTGGCTTAATCAGCTATTTGAATAGTTCAACATAAGCAGAGAGTGGCTTTTCTTGTAATGTAACACCATGCATGCCTTGCTTCATTTATCACTAAATTCTCTGATTGTATTTGCCAAACCTAACTCTAACTTGCAGATGTGTGTTATCTCTGATGGAATAATAACATTGCCTTGTTATCTCTAATAAAGCTTTGGGTACTTAAAAAGTACAATGTTTGGCAGCAATTAGACATGCTACACATGAAGATAACTTTTTGTCATTTGAGTAATGTTAACCCAAACGACATGGTTTTTGTTCTTCTTTTTGGCTGACTTTAGGGACTGAAAGGAGGACTTCAAGAATGTCCACTGTGCTTAAGCAGGTAGTGCCAGGACATTTGGATGTAAACCCATCCAATAGCTTTGCTCAAGGAGGTTAGTAAGACTGGTTTTATAAATGACCACTGATAACAAGTTTAAAAGCAGAAAACATTTTTCTAGATAGTGAATATTTTTAAATCAACTAATTATGATTCACATTGTTCTTAATTACCCTCCTTTAAATGAATGATCGAACTTATTACCAGCATAATGACAGAAGAGTTTAGTTGGATGGGATAATAGAAAAAATACTGTGATATCTTACATACGGATGTGTTTGGGAGCACTAAAGAATGAAGGGAGCATATGTAAATGGTGCGTCACCCCTGGGAGCACTCTGATTTTCCAAGTTCACAGGATAGAAAGACTTGTGTTAGCTTTGTGTACCATGACAAAATAACCTGAGGTGAATCACTTACATAAAGAGAAAGACTTACTAGCTCATGGCTTCAGAGGTTTTAATCCTTGGTCACTCAGCCTTATTGCCTTTAGGCCAGTGAATGGGCAGAACGTCATGGTGGGTAGGAAGTATGTAGTGTAGGAAACTACTCAACTTACGGCAGCCAGGAATGAAAGAGAAAAGTGGAAGAGTCCAGGATTCCAGTACCCCTTCGAGGGCACACCCTCCATGACCTCACCTCCCCAACTTTCCACCACTTACCAAAAAGCAACCCAACTTTGTGATCAAACTGTCAAACTTGGCCCAGCCTTCGGAGGACATTTAAGATCCAGACCACATCATCTGATTATAGAAGTATTAACAGCTAAGGAAAAGTGATTCCATATGAAAGTTATGCCTCTAACGCCTTTGTTTTTACTCCTGTTTTCTGAAGCACTTAGAAAGTAAGATAAAATGATACTCAGGTTTCTCTTTTTTTCCTCTGGGCCTCATGCCTGTACCATGGCTGCCGGCATGAGGTTATAGAGAAAAACTAAATAATGGCTATTTCATGTTTCAAAAGGTGGTCTACTTTCACCTTTGGAAGTTTATCTGAGATTCATTCTGCAAAAGAAATTTCAAATTCCTGCTTCACAATGGTGTCATTGCACTCTTCCTGTCACCTCCACCCTTATAATTCTAAATTCTCTTGAACTTGGTTCTTCTCAGTAGTGGTAACTGTAAGCTACTCTATTTGTGAGGAAGTTCTTTCTCATTTGCTCTAAAGATCTACCATTATCTAACTTTTACATATTGACTCTAGTTCTGTCCTCTGAAGTTAGAAACTAAGTGTAATTTTTGATATCTTAGTTTTTTGGATTTAAAAGCTAGTCTCCTGTTTTATCTCCAAGAACTATAATTAACTCTGTCTTCAATTCAAAGGATATAGTTCACTTGCCATCCACATTAGTCTGAGCTGTCTGCAGCCTTGAACCTAGAATTCGAGTTGTTCATCCAGCCTGAGATTACATTAGTTATGGAAAGGCTCCATCCCAGAGTCGGCCGGGCTAAAATTAAGATCATCTGAAATCCCATCTCTTTCTCACTGTACTGTTGCCCTTACTCTCTGGCCTTGAAGTTGAAGACCCACATATATGACTATCATGCTGTAACTACAAAATTGTATCTTTCAGCCCATTCTTTTCATGTGGATGGTTCCAGATCTTTTGAATCCAAATTCTGTCTACCAGTGTATTAACTTTTTCTAAGCTCCTTATAATCCATAGATTTGATCACTGTTTTCATGTGATTTATTGCTTTAAAATATTGAATAAGCCAGGATTAATGACAGAGGCCTACAGCAAAATAATGTAAGCCTCTCCAAATAAACTTATAGGCCTAAATTACTACTAAAATTCAGCTGGCCCATATTTCTAAATCCCAGTGATTTAGAAATAATAACCTAATAACCTTTTTAATCCAAGACTGTCAATTTTTCAGATTGTTACCTGTATCACAAATGATTTTATGATTATTTTGACATGATTTAAATCAATGCCTTTTTCTAAGTAATCATAAATATTAATAATCCATACTAGAATTTGGCTCAGAATCTACATAAAAGCTCTATTTTACAAAATTTACTTTTTCCTTTTTGGAAACCATGTGCTAAAGTCCTGTTAGTCATATTAGTTTTCTTTTCTTTCCTGTATCATTACAACTTTTTGCAGTTGCAGGAGCTAAAGAGTTTTCCTTTTTTTTGAGTCATCTTGCCATTTACTTTGTCAGCGCTTGAGGTCATATCATTTTCCTAGGCCTACAAACTGGGCATGGTGTTGTGCACATATGGTATAATCCCAGCACTCAGGAGACTAAAGCAGAAGGATCTCTAGTTCAAAGCCAGCCGTGGCTATAAAGTGAGTTCAAGGCCAGCCTGGACTACAGAGCAACACCCTCTCTCAAAAACAGAAAGGGAAAAAAAAAAAAAAAGAATTTCCTAAGGCTACCATAACAGAGTACCACAAATTAGGTGTCTTAAACAAAAGTTTCCTAGTTCTGGAGCTGAGAAGTCCAAAATCAAGCTGTCAGCAGTTTGCTGTCCTGAGAACTGTTAGAATCTGTTCCATGTTCTCTGCTAGCTTCTAGAGGCCGGCTAGCAAATAAGCCTTTGACATTCTCTGGCTTTGGAAAGCATCACCTGAATTTCTGCCTTTGTCTTCACATGGCTTTATCCTTCTGTATATATCTCCAAATTTTCCCTTTTTAGAAGGACACCAATCTTCACTGCTAAGACTTCACTCTACTCCAGTATATCCTATATTTATAACAACCTGCTTCCAAAGAAGGTCACATTCGAGTTGGTAGAGGTTAGGACTTCAACCCATGAATTTGGGAAGACGTAATTCAACTTATGACAATCATATATAAGTTTAAGATACAGACCTCATTCTTTTCATTTCCTTTTCAGCAATTTATTTGTTATTTTGATCAGTAGTAAAGATAATTATTTAATTACACATAATAGTAATGTAGGGATGATATAGGACCTTCAGTAATGCAAGGGAAATATAATGCCCAACCTGTTAGATGTCTGATATGAGTTTGTGTTTTCTAGAATCGAAGAGTGAGTTCTAGGAACAGTGGAGGTTAAGAGCAGAATATGTCTGAGGGGAAAAGAAACCTTCTAAGAGAGACAGAAGGGGTCCTAGGTGGGTTGCCCATCAAATTTGAACTGAAAAATAATGTTTATATCTCCTAAGTTTCCTGGTGTTTCTCTTGTTGAGAACTCTTGTCCAGAGGCTAGGGAGGTAGCTTCATGATAGAGTGCTTACCTAGAAGATCAACTAAAGCAGGACTAGGTGCAGACACTTTCCAAGCTCTGCAGGCAATTCATTTGCTTGTACTTACCATCAAGTATAGGTCTCTTCATTCTTCTGAAGAACTGGGTACTACTTTTCCAGAAATTCCTTACTTATTCTTTGTGGGAAGAGTTCTCTCCCTAGGGGGCCGGGGAGATAGCTCAGTAGTATAAGCACTTGTCTGGCAAATGCAAGGTCCTGAGTTCAATCCTCAGTGAAAAAAAAAAAAAAAAAAGTGTTCTTTCTCTTAACCTTCTCCTGTATCTCTTCTATTTTAAGTATTTTTTCATCCCTTTCATTATCATACAACCTTAATTTTTGGTTTTCTTTTTTTACTGTGCACCTCTTCTGCTCTGATGAGCTTCACTGTCATCATTTTTTTTCAGCCAGAGATCACTTTCCATTCATCATGCACATTAGTGAGTTGATATAGGAGAAAATGACAGCTGTTTTACACAAGACCTTTCAAAATGGAAGATGTGACCAGGTATAGTAGCACATGTCTATAACCCGAGCACCTTAAGACTGAGGCAGGAAGATCACAAGTTCAAGCCTAGCCTGGGCAATTTAGTGATATAGCAGGTTCTTAGAGGGAGAGAGGCAGGCAGGCAGGCAGGCAGGGAGCCTATGTAGTTCAATGAGAAGGACCCCTGGATTCAGTTTTGGTTTTCATTTAAAGTTAGAAGAATATTTTTAGCTCTGTGAGAAAAACACATATACTTACAACCTGGAGAAATTACATTGCTGAGTAGAAAAATGCCA